GCCCAGCTGGTGTGCGCAGGAGGCGGGGTTTCCGTTGCTTCGCGCCCTTTTTGGGCGCGCGCGGTTTTTTGTGCTTACCAGCAACTGCTCCCGACTCCTTGGTCTTGGATGAGGTGGCACTGCCTCAGACAGATCCAGTGCACAATCTGGGGGTCTTCCTGGACTCATGGCTCCTGCTCGAAGAGCAGGTGGCAGCTGTGGCTAGGAGAGCCTTTGCAGACCTTAGGGTTGTGTGCCAATTGCTCTCATTCCTGAACCGGGAGGCCCTGCTCACTGTCACTCATGCCCTCATGACTTCCCATCTGAACTATTGCAGTGTACTCTACATGGGGCTGCCCTTGAAAAGCATTTGGAAGCTTCAACTGGTGCAGAATGTGGCAGCACAGGTAGTAAATGGTGCCGGATGTTCAGCACATGTAGCGCCTCTACTCCATGAGCTGCATTGGTTGCTAGTGTGCTTCCAGGTGGAATTCAAGGTGCTGGTTGTCATCTTTAAAGCCTTTCATGGCTTAGGACTGGATTACTTGAGGGTCTGTCTCTCCCCAGTTGTTTCTACCCATCTAATCTGGTCAGGCAGGATGGGCATGCTTTGGATCCTGTCAGCAAAGGAATGCCAGTTGGTGGGGCCTAGAAGACGTGCCTTTTCTGCTGTAGTGCCCGCCTTATGGAACATTCTCCAGAGATCAGGATGGCCCCAAACTTGCTGGCTGATTGTAAGTCCTTAAAGATCTGGCCCTGGGGCCCCGAGTGTGTGCAGGGACCTATTTTGTGGTTAATTTAGTCATTATGATGGGTGATTTATTCCCAGCTGCTATGTATTTTAATTTTTGTATTTCAATTGTTTTTATTTTTTAAACTTTGTTCATCACCCAGATTCACTTGGTGAGATGGGCAGCCATACAAATTGAATAAATAAATAAATAAATAAATAAATAAATAAAATATCTCTATTCATATCTCCAAAAATTAGGTTATCTCTGAAAGAATGTATGATAGCATGGACTAAAAATTTTGGCTATAATATACAATGGATTAATGAGAAAATACATGTTGAAAGGATTGAAATTTATATTATGTTCTAGCCTTAAAGATAATTTTTATAAACTGATGTATCTTTGGTATCTGTCACCAGAGAAATTGTCTAGAATGTATAAAGGTACTTCGAATCTTTGCTGGAAATGTGAACAAAATTAAGGGACATTTTATCACGTCTGGTGGACATGTAAAAAAAACCAAAAAATGTTGGATACAAATACATGCATTAATTCAGAAGATTTTAAAGGTTAAAGTACAACTGAAACCAGAGACTTTTCTTTTGGGACTAATGGACAAGCAATTTAAAAAAAAGTCATGGAACTTTGTTTTTATATATGACAACTGCAGCAAGACTGTTACATGCTCCAAAGTGGGAAGGTTCAACACTACCTACAACTGGGATTAGTTGAAGATAGTGGAACTTGTGGAGATGGGTAACCATCAGAGAAAAAACAATATCTACATTTATGGTTGACTGGAAACCTCTTACAGACTTTTTATATGAAACAGAAAAAAAATGCACTTATATATGGTTTTGATGATTAAAAAAAAAGATAATAGAAAAAAGAGATTTTTTTTTGGTAATCATAGAGTAAGAGAGAATGTTGCAATTGTACAGGTAGTCCCCAGTTTAAGAACGAGTTGTTCACAAGGTCTGTCCTTAAGTCGAATTTGTATGTAAGAAGAGTATTATTGTATAATACTGTATAAGTAGTATTGTGTAATTAACTCGAACCAATGTGTATTTAACTCAAATTTTGCTACAATAGGCTCTGTTCTTAACTATGAGTCATCCATAAACCAGGAATTCTTAACCTGGAGACTACCTGTACTTATACTTGGTGCAAAGGAAATTGGAATCTCCTTCTATTTTTTCTTTTTTACTCTTTTTTTCTCTATTTTTTTCTTTTTCTCTCTATTTCCTTTCTTCTTTACTATTTACTCTTAGTTTGTGTTTTTACTTGTTTTGTAAAACTTTTAATTAAAAAAATTATTAAAACAAAAATTAGGATATCTCCCTCTGCAGTTTTAAGAAGTAATTGAAAGAATCCTTCATACAACTCAGTTGTATTAAAACAAAACATAAATTAAGACAATTGTAATTTTTCCAGATTCAGTCTAAAAACATAATATGAAATTTCCTTCCTCATCTGGGATTTGTTTTTCTAGAGTCCATGATAATTTTTTCATATATGTAGCTACTCCATTTTTCCCCATATGGGGCCACACATTTTTGACTGAGATATTTGCATTCCAACAAACCAAGATTGTCATTTTTAGTGTATGTCTCTAGAAAACATATACAGATGGTCCTCACTTACCAACCATTCATTCAGTGACCATTTAAAGTTACAATGGTGCTGAAAAAATAACTTTATGGCTCATTTACGACCTTCTTAGCATCCCGCAGTCACGTGATCACCACTACAGTCAGTACATGTTGTCCTATGCCTGACCTGTGTTGTTTTTTCTTTTCCCCTCTTGCAGAGCAGAGAGATTGGAGAAAAGGGGACTGCAAGAGGGTAAGCATCGAGAGCAATGTGATCACACTGGCAGCAGGAAAGGGTCAGGCAAAGGAGAGATTGCCTACAGAAATGGCTTGCGTTTCCCCCCCCCCAGACCAGAGATATTGGAGAGAGAGAGTTTTCAAGAGAGTACTGTGAGCTGTTTGTGTAGCGTGCCTCTGGCTCCCAGCCCTGGGCTGCCAGTGCAATTGCATTGCTTTCGAAGGGTAGAAGAGCAAACAGCTGACTCTCTTGAAATCTCTCTCTCACCAATCTCTCCACTCTGGGGTGGGGGGGGAGGCAGATGATTTCTGTAGGTAATCTCTCCTTTGCCTGACACCCCCCCCCCCCAGAGAAGAGAGATTGGAGAGGAATTTCAAGAGAGTAATGTTTGCTCTTCCACACATCGAAAGCAATGTGATTGGGCCAACAGCAGAAAGGTTCAAGGCAAAGGAAAAATTGCCTACAGAAATTGCTTGCTTTTTTTCTCCCCCCCCCACCTCACAGAGCAGAGAGATTGGAGAGAAAGGGTTTCAAGAGAGTAAGCTGTTTACATAGTATAGTGCAATCGCATTGCTTTCAATGTGTACAAGGCAGGCAGTTGAGCATTCCAAAGGGCAGGGGAGTGGTTAGGAAGCAAACAAAAGTCAAAGGCACGAAACCTGAATAGTCTTTCCAGCCACCTCATTTAACGGCAGAGTTGCCAGTAATATGTGCTTTTTCCTTTTTTTAACTTAAAAAATATTGCTTTTTATTTTAAATGGACTACTCAATCCATTAATATTAGTTGAAAATATTTTGATTTGATCCACTATAACAATTCTTAGGTTAATTTATAAAGAAATGCCAGCTGCTTGGTCCAGGTTTTGATCTTCTGTCCTTGGATTTCATTCCCCTGCTCAGTTACAGATAAGGATTCAAGCATTCTGTTAGCATTGTTGACAGAATATACAAAAGCTTTGACTGTATTCAAAAAGACCTCCAGACAAAATGGAATAGCCCATCTATAATTTAATTGTTCTTTCCAATAAGTGTCCTTGTAAACAAAATTTGCAGTTCTAAATTTTATTAAAATTAAAATGTTGAACCATTGAGCTGTAAAAAAGAATACATTCAAAAGTCAGCCTAGAAAATTAATTAGGTTAATAAACTGTCCAATCAAATGTGGAAAAAAGAGTAATAAATCCCAATCAGAAGTTTCAACAAAGGTTCAGAAAGAAACTGTTTAGAAGAGATGAATAAATACAATAAGAGGAAGAAACTAAAAACCTGAAAGTTCACTGTGGGTATCTCTCATAAACTCTGCAATGACTATTTGAAGATAGATGTAATGTCTCCTGAAGATTTATAATCCACTCAGTTCACCTCTCTGGAATAGTCCCAGAAGAAAATTGCTGTTCTGTCAGATTTTTGGCAATTAACAGCTAGGAATGCTGCTTTCTGCAATGAGGAAGGAGAGGAATAGAACAGTCTCTTTGCTGTAAAAAAAAATAAAAAAATTGCTATCTCCCTAATGAACCGCAATCTTGGACCTCTGTAAAAAAAGGACATAAAGCTACAATGTACAAGACTTTTAAAAATGAAGGTCGAGCATCTCAAATATGACCTATTATGAAGCATTCCAATGCATATTAATAACTGATGACAAAGAGAAAGTTTAGGTAAAAGGGAGTACAAAGAGGATACAACTAAATCCCCTTTGACATATAGCCTGAGAATCCCCATTCCTATAAGCTAACACTTCAACAGCTCATATCTTGAACAACATGATGGTTTATTCATTTCTGTGAAAAAGGGGGGGATAAGTTAAATCCAAAGTAGCCTTATAGTTTAAGATCTACTGAAATTTTTGATACTGAGGTTAAAAGTTTCCCAATGTTCACACAAAATGAAGATCTCCAATTCCTTATTCATTCTGTAAAATATCCATATCACATTGATTTATCAATACCAGGGCCATAAGATTTAGTGATCTTTGACTATTAGCTTTATAGTGTGAAAAATTAGATAAGATTATTGAGTCTTTGCTTTAGATGTTGGGATACACAGAGAATTTGGAGCCGTTTTATGAATTCTTTGGGAAAGATAATTTACATATATTTTATATCAAAAGCTTCTTCCTCAAACAATAGAATTGCAGTTTTGTCTTTTCTCTCTTTGTTCAGTCAGATCCATTACTAGCCAAATATCCATGTCTAGTTTTGATCAACCCCAGTTGACCATTCTTGACACTAAAGAAATCACTTTTTGAAGTTGTTGACAAAACTAATAGTTACAGCTATCAAAACTGGGAATTATACAGTCCTGAAGATAAAAAAATTCAATTTTACTCTAAAATATATAATACTGCAAACCTGAGAACGTACCCCATGAAGATATAGAAGCTTCTTAAGCTAAAACTGACCTTCTGCAATTAGATTCCTTACAACAGTTAATATTTGCTGCTTCGACTATGCACGAAATCCAAGAAATTATTTTGAATATGAGTAGGGGTAAAGCAGCAGGAATGGTGATGGGTGCACTATTGGAAGGCCTGAAAGACCAGGTTAGGGACAGATCATCATGAAGAAAATCTATCTATGGTTGCTTAGAATCAACAATGACTTGATAGCACATTTATTTATTTATTTATTTATTTAATTAATTAATTTCTCCCCCGCCCATCTCCCCCCAATGGGGGAACTCTGGGCGACTCACAAACATTAAAACCATAAATATATATAAATACATAAAACATCAATTTAAAAACATTACTAAAAAGAAAAGGAGAGTCCAAGAGATGAAGAATGTGGAGCTGAAGGCAGCAGGCTTCTATGGGGCTAGCCATCCCCACGCTTGAAATATTCCCTCCCCACCCCAGGCCAAGTGGCAGAACCAGGTCTTCAAAGCCCTATGGAAGGCCAGGAGTGAGGGGGCCAATTGCACCTCCGCGGTCAGAATGTTCCAAAGAACGGGGGACTGATGGATCTCCTGTGTAATGGTACAAAATATTTAGTGATATATTTGCCCCTAACATGTTTTCAATTATAGCAGGAGATTTTTGGAAGTGGCATTTTTATCTTTTTCATTTTATGAAGGATATATTACAATTATGTTAAAAAAAAAAAACAAGGACACTCAGTGCTTTACAGATAGATATACACAATTAAAATGTTCACAGTAAAAAGTTAAAACCTAGTAGAAAAACAATAAAACAATAAAGATCATCAGTCCCCAAATGCTTTACAAAAGAGTTTTGATTTAAGCTGTTTGCAGAAGGCAGGTAAGAAAGGAGCCAGGAGGCCGTTCTGAAGTGCCAGTGCTGCCACTGAGGAGTGGCCTTAGAAGTGGGGACCATACACTCCTCCTGGAAGTCTGTACAAGTTGGGCCAATTCCAGCTGGGGAAAGTGATCCTGAAGGTGCCAAACCATATTAGAAGTATTTTTTTAGTCTTGGGATTGGGAACAGCAGCACCATAAAGAATGTTCAGATTTCACACCTATCTTTGTGAACAATCCTGCTGCATCTGTCCTAATACTTGAAATCTCTGCTGTCTTGCAGTATTAACAGCGAACAAGTTAACTCTGCTGATGTGTGGTATTTCACATTCATCATATGCTATATTTTGCATGAACCCTTTAGGTGGTATCTTGCGAATTACATCTACAATGGCTATGAAGGTATCCTTGAGCATCCAAATATTCTTCAGAATTTTCTATCTTATTGCATACAGAGCACTAATAGTAATACTGATAGTATCTGATGAGAAAGAATCTAATAATCTAATAATAATAATAATAATCAGTGAAACGTATGACTAGATTTCTGCTCATAAAATAACATGGTATCTATCTAAATGCAAAAAGAAACATTTTAGGACATGCTTTATTTGATCATTTCTTGCATTCTGAGCTTTTTGTTTTTTGGGGTTTTTTTTACTATTCCAGGGAATCTTTTCTTCAAGATTGGTGGATTGTTTACATAAGAAGCTGGCAATTTGCAACTCTTGAACCCTATTTTTTTTTTTTTTTTTGCAAATACACTATTTTCCCTAAACATGGCACAGAAAATTAGTAACAGTTTCCCACCATTTTGAGAAAGAAGATATAGAAGAGTTGTGTATGCCCAAAAGATGTTTAATACAGAGTAGAAAAAAGAACAAAAGAACAAATTAAGACCCAGAAAAAAATCCCACAAAACTATGGTATAGATTTTGAGAACCTATGGCCAAGTTTGTTTTGGTGTAACCAGGCTTCTGGTATGTTACTCCACACTTTGAGAGATCTGAGGATTTGTGGCACACAAAACAAACATAAATAGGTCAGGAGTCATTAATTAAGAATCTGACTAAATATGTTCATACACAACATGGGTAGCAGCACAAAAATCTAATATTTGTAACAAGCCCCTTTTTTAAAAAGTGTGGAGGAAACACCATATTCCGGGGTTTGTTAACAGAGCTAATATAGTACTTGCTATCATACTGAGCAACATGCTTTGAATATCTCTATATCTGATGTGCTAAATATTATCCCTTCCTTACATTTAGTCATATCTTCCAGCTGCCACACGTATACTTTGCTAAAGCCCAACACACATAGAAGCCACAGGTACGTGAAGCTCTTCTGCTTTTTGTTTTGGACTTAGAGTGGTTCTGTAACCACACTGTGAATATTGATACCAATCCTATAAGGTTCTTCAATTCTAATGATGTTGAAAGACTGAGACAAAGGGTTGGTTAAAAACTATATAGTAAATTTGGTGGGAAAAGCTACATAAAGTTACAACTTTCTTTAAAAACATGCACATAATTCCACTTAAAACTAGTAAGAAATACTCATCCAAATCCAGTTGCAAAGCACCTAAAACTCAAAGCAGACAAGCTGACAAATGTTACCACATTGTTTAAAAGTATACCCTCCTCGTGTACTGGGGAAAAAACTAAGTTATTCAGAATTGTTTCTCCAAGAGAAACAAGCACATACACTCCAAAAACTTCAAAGCCCTTTGCCCTATCGCAATTCCCCGAGCATTCTGTCATCTCCCACTTCTCACACATATACATTTAGGAACATTTTTTAAGAGTGTTGAGAGCCATCTTTACTGGGGAAAGAACCAAATAATAAATGAACTTGTATTTCATTTCAAAAGATGTTGATACACAACATCTTTTAAAATTTACTAGGACAATTTTGACATTATTAAAGGGGCAAAGAAAAAATGGAGGTTAGTCTATTACTATGCCTAATTAAAAACACATAAAGGCGGCAAATGTCTCAAATGGAGGCTAAGCACTTTACAATTTTATTATGCTTATTCCTTATAGTCTACTTTTTACATTAAAATTGAATACACTAAAGATTCAATTACCAGTTTAGTTTTGTATACTTTTTACTGTCGGTTGTAAACTAATAGGGTATTTATGAATGTATTATTATTAAAGTGATACCCCATCTTTCTGCTTATATAAGCACTCAAAGTGCTATTTAGTTCTGAGGCACAATTGACTCCTGACAATACACACATTGCTGGAATATAATCTAAAGGCGCAAACAAGTATGTTCTATTTGATTTTTTTTCACACATCACTTTGTCCTGTTTACCATTAAAGACATTTAGAATGGCAGAAAAGATTTTGCCCCTTTGATTTTCTTCTTGATTCCATTGCAAGTAAGGGAAAGTCCAGCATAATGACGCTTCAGTGTTTCCAACCTCTCTTTCATTATCTCAGCAGCATCAACTTTCTCCTCAAAGTCCCTCAATAACAATGTATTTCCAAGTAAACCACATTTCTGCTGAAGCCTCTGATTGTCTATTCGCAATTTATCACGGACCTGCTTTGTCCTTGTTAGTATATCTCTGTTTTGGGCTACTAGACCCTCCACTGCCATTAGCTTAGCCTTTTGGCCTTGATTCTCTGCTTCCACAAATTGCAGTTTTTCTTTTACTTGAGACAGGATTTGCACTGTATTGGTGACCTTTCTCCGGAGCTTCAGAAGTTCCTCATTACGCTCTTCAATCTTCTCATTGTAGGTCTGGTTTTCTATCTTCAGCTGCTCAAAGTCTATTAAGTGCAGGCCTTCTGCCAGTTCTTCTTGGGCTTTTAGACTTGCATCAAGTTTTTGGATCCTGTGTTTAAATTTTATATTTTCAAGACGAACCTAAAATGATAAAAACTGGGGCTAATGATACCACCAAATAATTGTTTTATGTTGGAGCAATACTAATTTGAAATACTGGTTTGGCATGCCATGGGAACATAGCCATTCTCTGGGTTAGAGATCTGGAAAATAGCTCTGAAGAGTCTTTAGGAGTGCTTTGCAAAGACCTCTGCAGTCAATTAAAGAGAAACCCTCTTTTTCTGATCTCTGATAAGTTACAGGGCAATTTTGTCCACACTTTCAGATAAGCCCCACCAACCTATTCCTAAAAGACCATGGGATTTGAGGTTTAGTTTTCATTAACACAATCACAGATGAATCTAATATATTTTGATTTTAATAGAATTTGCCCCAGATTTTAACCTTGCAAATAAGTCCAATTGAGTTGGACAGAACTGGCCTTGATAGATTAACTTTTCCCCTATGACCAGTTGCGGAACACAGTCCTGATATGATAGCCAACAAAACTGTATAATTTCCAAAAGAGGAATCACACTTTCATCACACTACATATTTTTAGCTTGGGTGTGCTCCTGGACTTAGCTTTACATCTGGATGCCCAGGGCCTTACTTGCAACCTGCCACTATCAGAGGCACATTTGATGAGAATATAGAGAGGGCTTTCTTTATGGCTGCTCCAGTCTTTGGACATCAAGGCAGGCCTCTGTCATGTGAGTGAGTTATTGTTGATGGTGCTGGATGGCATACTGCATTCTATGGCATCTTTGAATGATATTGTTAGCCATCTTGAGCACCATTCAATATGTGGATCACCCCATCAAGTCCCACAATAAATGGAATATATAAGACTTCAAGCTCGTCTTGGTTATTTCCTATACTTTGAATTTTAGAATACACCAAGTCATGGGCATGAACTTTATGAATCAATGTCCTTCCTGATTTTGTAATTGAATGCTTTAATGGATCATTCAACTATTACTTTCTGTGACTGCTTCTTTTTAGCAAACATATTTGTCATCTATACCAATGACTCTTGACGGCTTACAACTAGAATACAATGGAGTTCATGTGATTAGGTGGTCATAGACCCTATGAAAAAAGGGAACACTATAGAAAGAACATTAAAATGGGCTCAAAAAGCAACTGATAAATAATACACCTGTTTCAGCAAAGCAGTGATATCACAACTTCAAGATGCACTACTCACCAGCTCTGGGAGGCAACTGTAGAATAAGGAAATATAAGGAAATTGCAGAGAAGCTAAATAATTTCTCAAGTTTACTACAGAATACATAGAGCAGAAATTTAAACTGATATTTTCAGGAAAGGTATACAAAATAAAAAGAATGAATGTACACATCCATGTCCAATTGGCACTTTCCTTCTGCCTACTGTGGCCCTATTCTCAAAGCATGGCCTCTAGTTGCCCAATGGTTTCCTACTTCTGATATACAAGCAGATGTTGTGCAGACAAGTATGGAGACTGGGATGATCCAGCAGGTACTATTTACTTGGACTTTCAAAGGTTTTGTGATACAGTCCTTGACCACTGTATTCCTGGCTACCATGAGAACAGAACAGTAGACTTCGTTATCATCCAGTATAACTCTTAAGTTTGGGGTGTTTATCCTCCCCTTACTGTTCTTTCATCAGTTAAGCCAGTGAAAGATTGAATAGAGAAGAACAAACTGAAACTTAGTCTAGACAAGCAGTTGTTTTACAAGAGTTCATATTAATCCTGATAAAAAGCTTTATAAACTAAAAGAAAATGAATTGTTCCTCAACATCCTGTTGCTGTAGCACAAGTACTAATCTAGGCTATGTATCTGCAGTAGATTAGTTTCTGCCATAATAACGGTTTACTTACTTTGCAAGTTAGGAATTTTACAGGGCTTATTTGCAAGGATGGGCATAACAGTGCAAGATCCAGGAAATGCTTGGTTTGGATTAACTTTGCTTTATCTAAGAATGACATTTCAATGTGTTTCAATTCCTCCTAGTCTTGAAGTTGTTGGTGTCCTTAACAGGCTTTACACTTAGGAGATGCTATATGCCTGTTCAGTGTAAGTCTCAAAGACTCCTTCAACTGAAAGCAGTAGAAAAAGAAACTGCCACATCTTAAAATTAATGAATGCCATTATCCCAACAGCAGGCTGCTTAGACAGGGCATTTTACATCTCTATACAGGGCTCACCTCTGTCATCTCCCTTTCCTTGTTTTGTTCTTTAGCTTGGATCTTGTCTACTTCCCTGATGGCAGCTTGTTTGCCTCCCAGCCGCCGCCCCATGGTATATACAGCTACCTCCTTCTTGACTGCCTGGTAGGTCTTCCATTCACTGTCCACCTTGGCCAGTTTCTGACTGCAGGACCGCTGCAGAGCATCGATCTCTTTCTGGTACCAGGCCATCTCCTCCGCCTGTTGGTTCCGCAGCTCCTCTAGCATGGCCAGGTAGCGGCCGTAGCGCTGCTCCCGGTCCGAGACGTGCTGCACTAGTTCTTCTCGGACGCGCTCCTTGCCCTTGGCCTTGTTCAAGAGCTCGGCCAGTTTGCTCTGCAGCTTCGTGTTGTAGTGGCGGAGGCGGCCTCGCTCTGCCAGCAGCTGCCGGTACTGCTCCATGAGTTCAATTCGCCGCCGGTGTTCCTCCGCGGCGCGCTGCTCTATCTGCTCCTCCGTCTCTTGTCCCTCCTCGCCCGCTTCGCTCTCGGGGCTGCCACCCACGACTAAGGACCGGCTGCTCAGGTGCCTCTGCTCCAGCACCCAGAGGCTTTGGCTGATCCTGCCGCCCAGTTCCACGCCCACCTGCAACGGAGGCGGCTCCAGCAGCTCGCCCTCAGAGAAGGAGGCGCTGGTGGGCAATTCGCCGAGGAGCGTTACCTGGGAGGGAACCCGCTGCGCCCTGCTCACTTCGGTCAGTTTCTCCAGAGAAGGAATCGCCGACGGTGCCGTGCTGTCCTCCACATCCTTCGCTGCCTCTGCTTCCCCCAGATCTTCGCTCGAGGTTGGGTGCTCCGGATGCTCCTTCGCCAGAGCCTCCTTGTCCGCTTCTGCTACCGCTGGCGGCTCTTCAGCCGTTAGCTCTGGCTTCTCTCCTATGGTCGCCTCCTCTCCCGGTCCTTCCTTGGCCGGTGTGGGCGGCTCTTCAGAAGGGGGGCTCTTCACGACCTCTGCTGTCTCCGCATCCCCGGGCGACTTCTGTCGCTCTGGGGAAATCGGGACAGCAGAATCCTCAGGATCTTCGGGTATCGGACTAGGGGCCTCTTTCTTCATCTTCTCCATGGCATCCCAGCTGCCGATCCACTCTTCTCTCTCCGTAAACGAACTGCTTTGCTACGTCGCTAGGCAACAAAAGTTCCTTTGGTCAACCAATGGGAAGAAAGTAAGAGAAGCGAGGCTTGATTGGAGGTTGCGCGTGGAACAGCGTAACAAATTTCGAAGCTGATTGGCTATTTGCTCTTGGGACACACCCACAAAGTTTTGCCTTGGTTAGTGGGCGGGAGTTGTTCCCTGTCGCAAACTTGGACGTCAAAGCTGCGCTGCTCTTTTTGCCTTTGAGGGGGAAAGCAAGATGGCGGAACTAGGGAAAAAGTATTGCGTGTACTGCTTGGCTGAGGTTAGCTCGCTCCGTTTTCGCTGCACCGAATGTACCGACATCGAACTTTGTCCCGAATGCTTCTCAGCGGGCGCCGAGATTGGCCCGCATAGACGCTGGCACGGCTACCAGCTGGTAGATGGTGGGCGCTTCACGCTCTGGGGTGCCGAGGCCGAGGGTGGCTGGAGCAGCCGCGAGGAGCAGCTCTTACTGGATGCTATCGAGCAGTTCGGCTTCGGCAACTGGGTGAGAAGTTCCATGCTGGTTTGTCATCCGGCCCTCTCCTTCCGGGGCGGGGAAATTCTCCTGTTCCCGTAGCGGTTCCTGAGTTCTCATTTTCAATAGCACGACTGTTGTCCATGGAGCTGGGCTCTTGTTCAGTTAAGGGGAAAAGAATGGCTGGAAATATTGGGCAAAGCTGAAGGTGGTTACTTATTCCCTGTTCCTTATTCTGGTCAAACATTCAAAACACAAGTCAAGCAATAGAGTGAATACAAACCCAAACTTTATACATTATTGGACTTAAAATTAACCTAAATTTATCTCTGTCAGATCTCTGTAATCAGACACACTGCGTTTCAATTTACCCAGTAATTCAGTATAATAAAAATAATTGTTTTTGTACAAACAAAAACATGGTGAATAATCTATATATCCAAAACGCTGCATCTCACATTTGAGCAACCCAAAATCATACAATCATGTTTAGCCAACTGCCCTGAAAAGTGATGGGAATGTATCTTGTTTGGCCCTAAGCTGGGTGCATGACACCTATCTTGCTCAAAGTAAGCAGAAATGAATAAGTAATCATATATCTACATCCAAAAGCATAGGTAGCCACACCAAATCATACATCCACATGCCCAAGAGAGTCCTTGATGTAATGGGAATATATTTTGTCTAGCTCAAACTTTACCTGTTTGTGCATGGTACTCTCAATAGAGGCACACCATTCCAATTTTGAATAGAAGTAACTTGGTCTCTGTACTGTGCAGAAGTGTAAGAGTTAGTTGAAAAGATTTCTTTTACAGTGATTAGTGTAAAGGATGAAATCAGATGACCCACTGTTCAGTAAGACATATCTCCAAGGAGGAATGAAACTAGGAAAAATGTGTATGGAAAAATGCTAAGTAAAGACACACTTAAAAATCACTGTTGTGCTAGGATATGTATAGTGGAAGTAGTTACAAAATGAAAATTTATATAGCTTGACAAATTTGAAATGAAGGAAATTTTGACTGTCAAATGTTTCTAAATTGTTTCAGGACTATATAAATATACTGAATAGATATTAGATGCTAGATGCTTCAGAAAATGAACCATGTAAACCTTAACATTGTTAACCAAAATAGTGTTGTATCACCATTCATATAATGGATGTTTGTCAGAATTTCAGTCTTTCATTGCATTTGTCAGTTTTTAGACTGCTCAAGTGGAATTACCTCATAGATCATCTGGAACTGTGGTTATATGATTTCAGGTTGCCTAAAATTATTTGGGGTACAGATGCATCATCATCATCATTCATTAACTATTTTGAGCAAGATAGGTTTGTTGTACCATAGTTAATGATGCTGTGCATATAGAGAAAGGTTTGGTCTGGACAAGGTACATTCCTATCACATTCAGGACAATGAGCTAACATGGGTATATGACTTAGGATGGCCCAAAGCTAATGGAAAGGCAATGTATACTGATTAGTGGTATAACGTACCATTTGTTTTCTGCTTAATTTTAGGTCCAAAATTTATATAAACTCTAGGTTTATATTTGCTTTTCTGATTGAGCTTCTTTTGAAGTTTTGTGCAAATAAGGAACTGAAACTAAGTAATCAACTTGTCTCATAATATTAGTTGGAATATTAACTATAATAATTACTAATATTCCAATATTAGTTGGAATCTCACCCATTCTAAATGTCAGCTGTTTCCGCCTTTTCTCTTGTGTTTTAACTGTTGTTAAAAATAAATTGTAATGAGAGTTTGCCAATAAAATGTTGAAAAAATACTTAGTGCTTTCCAGACTATTAGGTGGCAGCTGTGAGCAGGTTCACTTGTAGCTATTTACTGCATTCTAGATCAAATAATCTGGTAACTGTTGCACATGCATTGGTTATTGTACTAAATTAAACTTCTAAATTTAAATTAGTTTTAATGGACTATTATAATATGTGTCCTCAGAAACCAGCTGGTGTGGAATGCGGTGGCTGAGTTACTTTTTAAATATGCTTATCAGATGACATTTTGGGTGTGTTCACACGTATCAGAATTTAGCTTTGGCTTTGAGAAGAAAGTAGAAATGGTTGCTTAGCTCAGGGAAAGTAAAATATGTGAGAAAAGGACTCAGAATAGTCCTGCCCTGTTATCCTTTAAAAAGGGGCAGTTAATGTTTTCGACAGGCTTTTAAGATTTTTAGTATGCATTACAACAATAAAATAGCATTTCTAGAATTCCTGCTGTGTCTGTTTCTTGATCTGGACTACCTTGAATGGCTAATATCACACCAGATGCTGCTTTTTGGTTAACTTAATCCAGATTTACTCTATTAATCCAATTTTATGGATCTGCATGACATTCTGAACCATATATTTATGACATAAGCTGAGTTTCTACAATATGCTAGGCAATAATGTGATTAATTAATTTGTAAAAATAGCTTTTAAGCAGAAGACAACAGGTACTTTCTCAGCCAAATGTAAAGGATGCTTTTAAAAGCTTATGTGAACTGGGACTGAGGTATTTAAAAAATCTGGTCCTACAACATCCAGGTGACCCTATGAGGTCCTCAGACAACTTTTGCACTGTTTTTTTTTATTGTGAATATACAATATAGCACTTTCTCTGCTGTATCTTTCAAGATGAATGGTACTTCTATAAAGGCTATAGTAATCTGGTTTCTAAAGGGCAGAAGAGTTTTTAAAAATATTCCAAATAAAGATGGCTTTATGACTGTATTACCAGTCTGAAAAAACTATAGTTTTAATGTGATTTCTTGAAGCTTAACTTGATTTATGTTTAGGATTTTCTAGTTTGAGTACACTGTTGATACTGTAGTTTGATTGTGAATTGTAAGTTTGCTTTGTTTGAAAGACCTTTGCTGGGTTCACAAATGGGTTCTCATTACTACTAATCCTAATAGAATTGATCAATACTACTAGTGTTCTTATATGCCAATCAAGCTCTGTGTGTGTGTGTGTGTAAAAAATTAAAATTAGATCCCATTCTAAAATTAAATTTAAGGGAATTAATTTTTTCAAGAATGCAAAAAGTTGAATTTAGAACATCACGTTCATTGGTTGTACTTAAAAGAATGTGAAATGTTGGGTTCTGACAAATATTACTTGTATCTATATCTAGTACATGTATGTTCTTGAGACAGATAATTCAAAAAATTTTCTTCTTTATTGTAGGAAGATATGGCTACTCATGTTGGAGCATCACGAACTCCTCAAGAAGTTATGGAACACTACGTAAGCATGTATATACATGGCAATCTTGGAAAAGCCTGCATTCCTGACATTATTCCAAACAGAGTGACTGATCATACTTGCCCAAGTGGTGGTCCACTTTCTCCTAGCCTTACCATGCCTCTGCCACCTTTAGATATATCAGTGGCTGAACAACAACAGCTTGGATATATGCCACTTCGAGATGATTATGAGATTGAGTATGATCAAGATGCTGAGACTCTAATTAGTGGCCTTTCAGTTAATTATGATGATGATGATGTGGAAATAGAATTAAAAAGAGCTCATGTGGATATGTATGTAAGAAAACTGAAGGAGAGGCAGCGACGAAAGAACATTGCCCGTGACTACAACTTGGTTCCTGCTTTTTTAGGGAAGGATAGGCGAGATAAAGAAAAACCTTCAAAACGCAAAACTACAAAAGAAGAAAAGGAACTGAGGTTAAAACTCAGGTCTCTTTACCAGTTTATGTCTTGCAAAGAATTTGATGATTTCTTTGAAAACCTGCACAAGGAAAAGGTACTTCGAACAAAAATAAGAGAACTCCAACGGTATCGCCGAAATGGCATAACAAAAATGGAAGAGTCTGCAGAATATGAAGCAGCTAGACACAAACGAGAGAAAAGGAAAGAAAATAAAAACATTGGTACTTCTAAAAGAGGAAAGGAGGATGGTAAAGATGGAGAATTCTCTGCAATTGAAAACCTTCCTGGCTTTGAACTATTGTCTGACCGAGAGAAAGTACTTTGTAATTCTATTAATCTGAGTCCAGCACGTTATGTGACTGTTAAAACTATAATTATTAAAGATCATCTCCAAAAAAGGCAGGGCATCCCCTCAAAAAGTCGCCTTCCTAGTTACTTGGATAAGATACTAAAGAAAAGGATTTTGAATTTTTTGACAGAAAGTGGTTGGATATCCAGGGATGCTTCTTAAATCTTGACTACTTTGAAATAGCATCAGTATGAACAGAGGAACCATCATTGGCCATTGATCTAGTTACCAGCCTTTTTAAACATCTAAGATCTTGTAAAAAGCTCACTCCTGAACAACTGGAATTTTCACTTAAAGGATCATGTAAATGTTAGGTCTTATTTTGTGAACCACTTTACATGTCACCTTAAAAGAACACACTGTGGGTGAAGTGGCTCGTTTTACCTGACCAGTGTATCAGAAGTGAGATGTGAAACTCTGACAATACTTACTGAACTCTACCTCTGCTGCACAAGCTTGTATTTTAGACATGATGCTGGCTAAAGTCGCTATCCTCCACACATTTACTTGGAAGTATGCCCACTACATTCAGTGGTATTTACTGTCAAGTAAGACCATATCAGATCGGGCTACTTATGTATCTTACTAAATCCTGGGTAACGAACTTGAACACAAATCACGATTTCATATTGCATATGTATACTATGAGTTTGTTACATTTTTTCACAAGCCAATGCATTCTGTTATATTGCCACAAGAGCACAGAGAATGCAACACTGAGTAATATAAAATGGTTTAGCACAACACATCATATAAAGTAGCTCCACTATCTAGCTTGCATAGAATTGGAAACTTTCAGCAAATAACAGGCATTCCAGTTGTAAACATAGTGGTTGGTTAGCTAACTGCTTTGGTTTATGTACTAATGTTCCACTTCTGTACAATTTGAAAAATGAAAGAAGGAATCTGCATGTGGTTTCATTTAAATATAAGCATCATCTGAGAAAATGGGAATTATAGAGTTTATGAGAATATAATTGGACTATACTGATATAAGATGCTTAACTGTGCACTGCTTGTCACTAACCAACCCAAACTGTTCTTCAGGTTTGTATTTGTTGTATGTAGAGTTTAAATACTCTTTCCCAGTCTCGGGCAAGAATCCCAAAATGGGAAACATACATACAGTCAGACTGCACATGGATATAACAGGTGAGCACACAGTACGATTAATGTATGATGCTGTGTGTACCTCAGATGTTTTAACATAGCAGTTGACACAAAGGATGGACTGTTGTCCTGAAAGGACTCTGTTTGCTTACCTGTTACTTTTACCACCACTGTAGCCACACATTTTTTACTTAGTGGCCTTTATAATAGTTGTGCTTCCCACATTGCCCTGCAAGCTGCTTCTTAAAAGGGAAAGAGGGACACTTTTCTTGGGTATGAACATCCCAGTTATATATAGGCAAGATTCTGGTAAAACATCCATTACTAAAACTGTACTTCTGGTCCACTCACTTTTCTGGAGAATGAGTCTTGATAGCTTTTTGTTGAGCTTATTCATAAACAGTCTTTCAGGCCCTTGAATGCATAGTTTAATTTACTACATGTGCAGCAGAAGAATAAGTGTTTCATTTGTCAGTGCAACTTAGTTACTAGTAAATGTGCTTTGAATTACAACCTTAAAAGTTTCTTGTGTTCTCAAACTTAGCAATTGGAATCACTATGCAGTTGCATGCAAACGTTCAGAACAAATTGTATGCTTCTGTGAATGTTTAAATGAACAGAAGTGAACAAAACCACTACATGGTACAAAGTTAAACACAGCATCTTTCTGCAAATCTAATTGCGTACCTTGCATATGCAGTTTAGATTAAATTTAAAAAAAAAAACAATATTCCAGATACACAACTTTGGATATCCTCTCAGTCAGAATTTCTAGCACCTTTGCTAGAAATAACAGCTTCTGGAATTTTTTTTCTCACTCTTCCTTGCCCAAGTCTTTAAGCTCATATATATTCTTAGGCCCTTGGGTGGGGGGGCTAACATGCAGGCACAGCATGTTTATCTCCCCAAGTCTGGGGACTGTGAAGGCCATTCCAAAACCATTTTCTTTCTTTCCTGCAAGGACTTCATAGTTGATTTGGGTGCGTGTTTTGGACAGTCTTGCTGAAATATCTTACATCTGAAAGAGTGTCCCAACATTATGCATAGTAAGTATGCATTCAGACTTCAACTTCTGTTCACTTATATTTCATTGTAATATACAATTTGATTAGGCATACATAAACCTTTGCATGCAACTGTACATGCTGCATGACAGTAATTTCTACTTAGGTGATGGAACAGTTTTCCTGCTAATACATGCTGATTTATTACCCAGTATAGGACAAGGATAATATTAAGATAGACTTGCAATCAATAGTAATAGATCTGAGTATATCATTCTGCAAACCTTATGCATCTGCCACAAGTATTGTGGCATACATGGGGGCTGGCAACATAATGCATGTAATTTAATCTAAAAAAAATACAAAAATCTCCCTAGAGAAGATATCATGGAACAATATAGCTAAACATTTTTTAAAATTAAAGTTCATATGTTGTCATTTTCTGATGCCAGCACTGTGTGATGGTGCCCAATGGCCAGGGAAAAATTGCAAACACCAGTGTGTACAAAAGTCACCAAAGACCACAGTTCCTGAAGCAGTACCCTTCTTCAGCCTGATGATGAAACCTCATATTTTATGTGACTTTAATCACAAGTGATCTCTCATCACACTAATTTATATTGATAATATATCAACTGCAGTCACAAACGTTACCCCTTCACCCCAAAAGGGCACAATCAAGACAAAATATTAATTGAATAACCATTATCAAAATTAATTGCCTATTAAAGCACTACAGTTAAAAATTATTGATCCCACTCTGTCTATACCAGCTACTTCTTACACACAGACCACTCATACAAAGAAATGCGCATGACACCCCTATTTCCTACCCTCCAGGAAAAATAACAAAAAGAGATGGGGCATAGTAACTTCATTGAGAATAGTAACCATATTGGAAAGAAAACTGGGGAACAAGACTGAAGCAAGATGAGGTGAAAGAGAGAGAGAACTGGACAAAGGAAAGAAGAGAGACAAGCTGCTGTGCTGTTACAGGAAGGAGTGAACTCCAGTAGGAAAGCAGACCTTCCCAAGCAAGAACTGATCTTCAAGGGCATTCACGTTTAGCTGCATGCGACAGTCGTATCTCTTTTTTTGTTTGTTTCCAATAGTGTCTTCTATTCTTAGTGATGTAAGACAACCCTCAATTCAAAGGTAAACAGAAAACAACAGTATTTATAGTAATTGCATATTACTTTAGTGTCATACTATTCTAAGACACCTTCATATGAATTAAAACAGTTATTAGATGCTAAGTGGCATCAACAAGGAATGGTTTCCAAAGACCTCACTGCACACATAGGATGATGCCATTACTGGCTGTGCATGTATGTCTTGCCACTTTTTTTGTCCGATCACAGCTCTATCTCGGCTTAAGGATGGGGCATGGTTGCATAGAAGTATAAACAACATGACACCAACAGTTCAAAAGATTTAAATTTGGAAATAACCTATATGGCATTCTTGTTGCCCAGTTATTGTGCAGGTTACCCTTGAGGAATCACATTAATGAAAAGGTACTATAAATAATCTGAGGTTGTAATTTATGTTATTAGTTTGTATTCTTTCCACATCATATGCATTCATTTAAAAAACATTTTCAGCACTGCTTTATATGCATTATTACCCATCCATTATTTTCCTCGGTATCCCACCTCATTTGGTGAATCACCCCTATGTTTAGTGGGGCATTATAAAGACATTTAACTAATATTTATGTGATGCTTATTAATTCTTTCAAATTAGACTGCTATGGTTCTTTCACAACACCTACCAATGCAGGCCTTAAAGTACGGCTATGTAATTTATAGCCAATCTTTGATACTAAAGCAACAGTGCCAGGCTCTTTCCCTTCCATGGGGACATGAAATAATGCTTCATGTTCATAAGGATCAAATTTGGCTCCAAGAGGATTCAATTTCACCAATCCATGTTTTTTGAACACTTTCTGTATTTGAACTTCAGTCATGGCAAGACCTTCATAAAGATTTTTCAAATGGGGGTTTTCATCCTTTAGTTCTTCTTTAGGAACGGACTCAGTTGCTTTTTCCAGAACATCAGCAACTTCCAGTAAGTCCTTGCAGAAACTCTGAATTCCTAAAGTGCAAAACCATAGTAAAATTATAGTCAATCCATAAAAATAGGATGATGTTTCAACCACATGTAAAATGGTATTTGAGAACAATGCATTTCACTACATTTTGGTTTTGCTGTAACACACTGAAGCTGAGAATCAGCTAGATCCAGACTGAATTGATCATGCTGCAGTTTCACCAAAATCAACAGAAAAACTTTATCATAACTATCATAAGTACCATTAATTTTGGTGGGACTATAGTGTGACTTTTTAAGTACATACCCAATCAATGGATTTTTAAAAACTACAGCATTAAATTTATGAGAACATGACCAATAATTTAAATCAGACCCACTGTCAGCTCCAATTTATAATAAAAGACCTTCTATGTGGTAAAATAATTGTGCTCTATTTTTTCCCTCAGATTTACAAGGTGCTGAAGATCACCCTCCTGTTTAGTTGTTTTCTAAGGGTTATTTGGCAAATGCAGTTTGTCATTTTCAAATGACAAAGTCTTTATCTTCTGAAATTATTTCTTACAGTTTCTTCAAATAAAGAATCCAGCCCTCACATCCTTTTTGTCTCCCATTCTTACAAAGCCTAAACAAAAAAAAATCAACCATTGGTAACACTTCCAGCAGAAAACTAAATAGGTGGTTTTAGTTTCAATCAATGATCCCAGCATGAATTAAAAAACAAAACAAAACACTAGCAACCATGGTGTCTTGTATAAATTGTAATTGGTTAGCTTGTACAATGTACAAAACCATAAACCATGGTTAACAAATGACAGTAGCTGAGTTCACATATTGAGCCAAGACCAAACAAGCCACATTATGACAGTGTGATGCACAAATCCAGTCAACATGTGTAAGATTCAAAATGTATGTTCATGACTGCACCAATAAGCAAAATGAATATGTACCATATAACTTTGCTTCTTCTACCAATTTCTGAGTCCTCTGCCGCAGATTTTCTGCATCTGCCAGGGCACGTTTATATTTATCCTGAAAAAAAGAAGTGTGGTGATGCAAGATGAAACTCAAGAGGCAGGCAGATTATAGTACTCCTCTCACACCATCCCCATTGATCCATTTAACTTTACAGAGTGAGGTCTTTAATTGTACTTTATTCTGATTTTTTTTTTTAAGTTCCAAATAGGTGTTACTATAGGTTCAGATGACATGCTAAACTTTTAACTCTAGTTAATGAATCACAAGCAATGTAGGACAGCATGGACATGTATGCATTCTCATTAATCCTTTCTCATGACTTAGGATGAACACTGCCAGTGAGAGATACCAGTCAAATCTGGCTAAAAATATAAAGCAAACTACTACTGCAGCAATTTATCTGTTGAACAGGATGATGGGCACACCTAATGAATCCCTTCTTATATGCACAGAGCAATCTATTGCTTGTTTTGTACACACTGAGCTATGTGTGTTTATGGTTGACTCTGATTTAACATTGGATTACAAACCATTAATCATGGGTTAACATAATACAGATAGTCCTTGACTTATGAGGGCAATTGGGACCGGAATTTCCATCACTGATACGGTCAGAGAGTGCAGCCACATTACTTAGCAATGGCAATCCCTGCAGTCCCGATTGCCACTGTTAACTGAATCCCACAGTTGCAAGGTGAGGCAACTTCCTGCCAGCTTCCCACAACCAAATCAGTGGGGAAGCCAGCAGGAAGTTGCAAGTCCCAGGAGGCCTGCAAGCAGGCTGGCAGGCAGGCAAGTGGCTGCTGCCAGGTGGGGGAGGGCGTGAGGGAATGGGGGGGGAAGTGGGGTGAGGGTTGGGGAAGGCATGGCAAGGGTGCACAGGGGTGTATTAGGGTGTGCAAAGTGCCAGGGAGGTGTAGCCAACGGTCAGGGAGGGTGAAAGAGGATCTGAGGGAGGCGTGGGTTGGGGACGATGTGTGGGGCTTCATAGGAGGAGCAGTGAGGGTGTGCAAGGATACAGGAGAGGTGCAGTGAGGGTCAGGAAGGATGCAAGGAAAATGCGGCACGGGTCAGGGAGGGTGTGAGCGAGGTGTGGCAAGGGTCCGGGAGGGTATGCAAGATTGCATGAGGGAGGCGCAGCAAGGGTTGGGGAGGGTGAGAGGGAGGTGTGACATGGGCCGGGTGTGCAAGGGTGGCACAGCGAGGGTTGGGGAGGGTGTGTGAGGGTGCACGGGGATGCACAAGTGGAGGGGGAGGCGCAGCGAGGGTGCATAGGAATGTGTGAGTGGCCAGCGCAATGCGAGTACAGAGGGATTGGGGGAGTGCACAGGTGGGGGAGACTTATCCCAGTGACTTGTGACCTTCCCTGCTGGCTTCCCCACTGACTTTCTGGGGAAGCCAGCAGGGAAGGTTGCAAACAGCCATCACGTGATCACAGGGCACTGCAAACTGGTCATGTGAGCCAGTTGGCAAGCGCCTAGATTACAATCACATGACTGCAGGGCTGCTGGAATAGCCGGACCTCTGAGGACCAGTCATAACCACCATTTGTTCAGCGCTGTTGTAACTCTGAACAGTCGGTGAATGGCTGTAGGTTGAGGACTACCTGTATAAGAACCCAGCCTAACTGCAGGGATACAGGTAGTCCTCAGTTAACAACCATAATTGAGATCGGGAACTCCATCACTAAGCGATGTGGTCATTAAGTGAAAAATCACATGCCTGCACTGACTTATGACAGCAGTTCCAGTTGTGGTCCTTAAGCAAGTCACACTGTGACCATCATAATTGCACTCTGGTTGCCAAGCACCAGAATCGCAATCACATGACTGCAGGAATGTTGAGACTGCTGCAACTTTGAGAACTGGCCCTAAGTCTCTGTTCGGTGCTTTGTAACTTTGAACGGTCACTGAACAAATGGTCACTAATCAGGGACAATCAGTAGTGGAAATGGCTTTAACAACAGCTGGTTTCACAAAGTACACTAAGGTACTATAATAGATTACAGAATGAACACTTCCCTCTGAATTTCTCACCCATTATCTGCAGCACTACTTAAGGTCAGAGGCCACACATTTCATACATCAAGAGTCACTCCAGTATTGTTTTTTTTTAAATCAAGATCTGAAACCTACAGTAAGCCTTAATTTCAAATGTTGGGTTTTCCAAACTGACCATGACAGCCACTCTAGATTTGTACAACTCATGTACTTTCAGGTAAGTCTCCAAACCTCATTGACAAAATATACAAGACTAAGGATAAGATAGCAAGCACCAATGTGCTCATGTGAATACAGCCAAAGATTCATTAACTTATAACCTTTCACTAATCTTTTGACTTTCTTAAGGCTGAGCATGTCATCCAAACCTGGAATATCCACAATTTTTAATTTGCACCGTGAGTAACCATTAATTCAAATTCTTATTCACATAAACTAGAAATTCTACTTGTTCCCAAAAGACAAAGAAAGTGATGTCTAGGTGATCCTGTTGTCCAGAGTTGCTTAGCAAATTACCCAAGCACTCCTACATGTCTCCTTTGTTTAAAATTGGAAGCAATGGGACACATATTTCTATGGCATTGAAATTAATTTGTTTTTAAGCATGGTACAGCATTAAACTGTCTCCCAGAACACCAATTAGCTCTTTAATTAACTGTATCCATAATAAAACCTAACAATTGCTTTTTTGAAGATGAAACTTCAATACACTGATGAGAGAAAAATAAGTTGCATTTCTACAATTCAGTAAAGTTAAAGTTAGGAGCAGGAAGTAGACTAACTATGCACACATCTCTATCAAACTTGATTTAATATTTTCTCTTAAAAATAAATTAAAAAGCTAGCATGACCCCAAACAGTGTCAACTTCCAGCATCATCCTTATTTCCAATAATGATTCTAGTCCCCACAGGCAATCTTAGATAACAAAACTGTGTGACTGCAGACTGACATTTTGTTTGGAAATGTGTTCATCTGCCCCAAAATAGACCAAGATGGTATTGAAGGGAATGGAGGTAGAGAGTAATGTCACCAGTTTACCTTTTGTTAAACAAGTGTTCTGTGGCTGGTTGGCTGTTCACTGTTACCTTTATGAAATGAACATTCCCTGTGCCATGTGGCTCAATCCCAAGTGCCACTAGACTACAAGAGTTGTTTTCCCTGAAATAAATAATTTAAGAATATACAAGCCAGAAAGATCCTTACAGTTATCTCCTTTAACTGCTCTTCTAGTTTGGTCTTTTCCTCTGTTAATACGTTTGCTTCAGAGCAAGAATCAGGTTTTTGTTCACTGTGGCTCTGGTTTTGTTCTTCTTCCAAATTTGGTCCAGTGTTTTTCTCCTGGGTCACTGTGCAAAGCAGTTGAGAAGACCTGAAACAA